CTCTGCTGCTGGCAGCCCAGGTTCGGATCCGGGGCGCGCACTGACGCACTGCTTGTGAGGCCATGCTGTGGCAGTGTCCCACATAAAGTGGAGGAAGATGGGCATGGATGTTAGCTCAGGGCCAGTCTTCCTCAGCAAAGAGGAAGACTGGCAGATGTTAGCTCAGGGCTGATCTTCCTCACACACAAAAAAATAAAAAATCTGTTTAAAAAAGTGTAATCTGACTCCCTCACCAGACTGTCAGCTTCTTGAGGGCAGGGATTATAAATTATTAACATTTGTGTCTACATTAGCATCTTGTAATGCAAGAATATAGAAGCAGTTGAGTAAGTACTTGCTACATGAATATAATAATTACCAAGCAAAACAGGAAGAACATTGTATTAACTGAGGTTAAAATAATGAGTCCAGAAATACTTAATCTGAAGGTACTATGTAATTTTTATTAAATATAAAAAATTCACATTTACATAGACAGCATGGCATGTAAAAACAACACTACAGAGATCAGGAGACATGAGGAATCCAAAGTGAATCCTTAAGTAACCAAATCTCATGGGACTTTATTTCAACATCTGAAAATTAGGCTTGTCAATAATTTTTATCCTGTTTACCCCATAGAGCTGCTTGGAAAACCAAATAAGATGAGTTGAAAATCCTTCAACATCATAAAGCGGTTAGCATTGGTGTCATTAGACTTAACTTTGTAAGGGGATAGAGGAACCACAGATATATGATTCCATTTATGTGGGGTTTAAAAGCAACCTGGTCTACCGACCTGACTGGGAATAAAGAGAGCCAGAACCAGTCTTGTTCTTTTTCTATTTTCTGCCCTGCAATGGACAAGCTTCATTTTTCCTGTTTATTAAAAAAAACCAAAAAACAAAAAAACCCCTGCCTATTCTCATCTCTTAACTATGAAAACAAACACCTGTCTTTTGAAAAGAAAGTGGTTAAAAAATATAAAATATCAATTACCATATTTCTATTTCAAGTTAGGATAGTTTCAGTCTTCTTTCCTAAGAGAAACAAGGTTCGATTTATTTCCTTTAGGTGTGGGAAATCAAAAATGTACATACAGATGCTTTTGCTCTAAACAAATTAAATCCTGGGTTTTCTAAGTAGACATCTTTCAAAATTATGTTGACTGTCTATTCTGAAAAACGGATGCCCTTGTTTTAAATTCAAATTTATTGATAAACTCTGATGAAAATGCAAAGGTAAACAGTGCAAACAGCAGACAAGAGACAGAAGATTGAATGACCTTTGTGACAGCTATCTCTAGGGACAGCCTATAAGACTTCATGCTCAGAGACAAATCTTCACTTAGGCAAAAAACTAGAAGGAACCCATTACATTCTTTTCAAGAGTTCATGACAGCTTTATGAGTTTTTAGATTTAGTTGTAAGAAATATTCTTATTTTCTCTTACTAGTAATGAAAGTTTGTGATGAACATAGGAAAAAATATTTGGAAATTAAAAAAATTCTCCTTACCAATGGGTTATACTCTTGGAAAGAAGGTTTATATGAAAGCCATCTACCCTGCTTTTATAACTATCACTCATACAGTGGTGATTAGGCATCAGAACACTCTTGCCTTTCACTCCTATGATTAGTAATAATTAAGAAAAGCCAAACGCCAACTGAATTCGGATCTTTCCCAATGAGCTGGTATCATTTAGCTAGCAATGGGCTGTTTTTGAGGAGATGAGCACCTCTAGTGTTGTTACTCTATAAAAAGCACCAGTACTAGAAGGAACTGGTGTCCACTTTTGTCCTTTCTATCAGTTCTGCTGACACTCAAAAAAGATGTAAGGAACTGTGATGTCTGAGACGATTTGATTCACCAGAGGGCAGGTTTCATGTTAAATGTACTAACCTTCTGTTCAGTAAATTTCATATCTAAGCATCTGCTTTTTGTGCTCACTACACAGAAATAACAGAACAATCTTCCAGAACCACAGTAACACTCTTTGGTATTGAAGCTCTTTGAGAGATGTTGTAGAGGAACAAATACAAGAGAGGAAAATAAAGAAAAAAAAGGGAAGACTGGAGTTTTAATTCTTTCCCTCTATCTATACTTACTGAAAGGTTTTAACTCATGGCTGCTGTAGGGAGGATCACAGCAAATAGAGGGATAACACTGTCTGGATAAAAGTATTTTGCCTGTTTGCATGACTTGTATCATATTCATTTAAAAGTCTGATACCGACCAGATGCCCCACAATGATGATAAATTTAATTTATTTCCAATTTCTCAAACTCTTCTACAGATTCAGGCAGCACAGTCACAGCCATTAGCTCACTGAGCCTGGATGAATCATTGAAGGAATGGAATTGATCAGGCAGATAGATTGCAGTGCATGGTTAAGAGTCTCCTAAGAAGGGAGATGGCAGAAATCCAACATCAAATAGATGATGAAATGGCCATTTCCATTAAGGGAACATCACATCACAGATATTAATTAGAAGGCACTATAATAGAGTTAAGTGGACGTGGGGAAAAAATGCGGAGTTAAAAGTCACCCCGGATGTCCTTAGCCTGAGGTAATTATAGATGTGAAGGTGAGTCATGGATCTGCAATTTTCCATTCATTTTACAATGGCTGCAGGTAAGTTAGAGACCAGACATAACTCCAGAGTGATGATCTTTTTTTAGACTGGGGACAAACTAAAAAAAGAAAAAAACATTCCAATGTTTTCCTTTTACTATTCTCAGGGAAATTATATCCTTTACTTATAGCAACATTAATGGTAAATGACAACACTTACTGCTTTCCTAGTATAAGAGAAATGAAGCAAATGAAACAAATTAGTTTTGAGTTTAAATGCCAAGCATTCTACCAACTTTTTTATTTCATGGATGTAAATTCATCTTAAAAATTGTTGGGAAATTTTGTTCTGAGTCTTTGGTTCAAATCTAGCTTAAATGCTAAAAATTTAAAATCTTTTAAAGTATTATTTGATACACCCAAATGCTGGAGATAGTCAAAATCCAGACCTTCAGAGCTCATTAAAACAGTATGTGACCAATATTCAAAGTATTTTTTTGCCCAACAACAGATTAATGACAGTTTAATTTTTTGTTCTGTAATTCCTTACATTCTCTTCTCCCCTAATATCTTCCAACTGCATCCTTCCTATCTGCAAACATAATAAACACCAAATGCAGATAGATGACCAATATGTGAGTTAAGACAACACTGAGAATAAAAGGGTTTTATCTTTCCATTTTAGTAGAATTTGTATCACAACCTCAGAATTCTGGATGAAATACTTCAGGTTATTAACTTCAATAGCTGAGGCTCTACCCAAGAAGAAATTCCTTTGCTGAGGTTCCATTCTTAATTTCCTACATAAACTCAGACAATTAACAATTTTTATTTTTTGCTTTACCTCATCAAACAGCAGAATCACATGGATATTATAAGAAATAACACAGGGTATCTAAATGATGTGAAATAACTTGCTGAAAGCCCTTTTACCAGCAAGTACTTATAAAAGATAAGGACACATCAGCAAAAATGATGGAGTAAAAATTCTGAAAATTCTCTTCTCCAAAAAAGCAATGAGAACACTCATGAAAATTGTGAGAATCAACTTTTTCTGAACTGTGGGAATTAACCACAAGCTTGCAGCAGTCCAAGGAGTGTTTATTAAAAGAAAATTGACTGAATTTTGGTAAAAACAGGGAATTTTGTGACATTTTAACTTGCCCTATTCCTATTCTGCTCTCCCAAGCTCCATAAGTAGCCTTAAAAATCAACAGCCTGCATAACAGTGAAAACCAGCAGTTAATAGCCACCAGAGCGGGCAGAAGAGGGCTGAAGCTCCTTTAAAGCCCTATTCTCAGAGAATTATTATCATTTGACCTGTCTAGTGGTTCCTTGGAAGACCTCACTTGCAAGGCTGTCTTTATTTGACCTGACTTGGAGCTTGCCCAGTGTGAAAAGCCTAATCCCCAGGGGTGTTTGTTGAAAACAATTATAGGCAATTGTTTACCAGTGTGGCTGCCTGAGGCAGTAGATAACAGTTGGGGCAAACAACAGGCTAACCAAAAAGTTTCAAAGGAAAAGCTGAGAAATGAGATTCCTGTAAGGGGCTTTGAAAGTTCTAAGTATCCCCAGGAATCTAGAAGGCTACACTGCATGCCCATGGCTATACACATGCTCAAGAAAGACCTGAGAAGGTCCTAAGCTCCCCACTCTGTCTGACCTTGAGGCTCTGTGCAAGCAGGAAGGAAGTGCCAATTGCCTGGTGGAGTATTGAAGGTGAGCCCCAATATGCACATAGAGCCCTTTGGCAAAGACTAAGAGACTTATTGTTCTAGACATTTAAGGAAATCTCTGCCCAATCATGAGCTGACCACTAATCCAACCAAGCAGAGACTTTAGTGGCCACACATGAAAAACAGCACAGCCTTTAAAGAATCAGTTTAGGAAAGTCACTAAACAAACAACAACAAATAGCAACAAAAACAAACTCTAGGGGAAGGAAAAATCTAATTTCAAGAGTTGCCACATTATTTAAAATGTCCAGTTTTCAACAAAAAATTGAAACATGCAAAGAAACAAGAAAATAGGGCCCAAACTCAGGGGGAAAAAAGTAGTCAATAGTACTGTCCCTGAGGAGCCCAGATGTTGGACTCACTAAACAAAGACTTTGAATCGGCTATTTTAAATATGTTCAAAGAACTAAAGAAAATTATGCCTAAAGAACTAAATGAAAGTATGTGAATAATGCCTCACAGAGAATCTCAATAAAGAGATAGAAATTATTTTAAAAAAGAACCAAATAGAAATTCTGGAGTTGAAAAGTACAATAACTGAAATAAAAATTTCATTGGAGGGATTCAAAAGCAGATTAGAGCAGGCAGGAGAAGGAATTAGTGAACTTGAAGATAGATCAATTGAGATTATCCAGTCTGAGGAACAGAAAGAATAAAAAATGAAGAAGAACAAACAGAGCTTCTGAGATCAATGAACACCATCAAATGTACCAACTTATGCATAAGGGGAGTCCCAGAAGAGGAGAAAAAGGGACAGAAAAAATATTTGAAGAAGTAACGGCCAAAAATTTACTAAATTTATCTAAACATTCAAGAAGCTCAATGAAGTCAAAGAGATCCATAGCTAAACACATCATAATCAAACTGTTGAAACACAAAGACAAAGAGAGAATCTTGAAAGCAAAACATAAAAAACAAAATTCAGATACTCTCCTGAAGGTTGCCTACAAATGTACATGAGGCAAAGAGTGTGGCTTCAAGATTAGACCTCAGAGTCTTACTTCTGTCATGTACCTCTTGGAGGTAAATTAGTTGAGCATACATTTGATATAACTCATAGGGAATGGTTTTTATCCCTTGGTAATCTCTGGGAATAACAATCAACCAAATTCTCCAACCCAGTTGAATGTTCAGTCTCCTACACTAATCTCAAAGGAGCAATAGATTCAAAGAGGAAATGAGAAATTCTCTTTTGCAGAGAGAAAAAAGTATCAGTAACTGACAGCCAATTATAGCTTTCATGTGACAATGTTCTTTTAGGTACTCAAATAAAAGGCTTAACTTAGCTATGGTGGCTGATTAAAAGTTTCTTAAGATCTATGAGTAAATCATTAACTTTTTGTAGCTCATTCACAAGGAAATACTGTGACATGATATTCCCATCTAAAGAAATTTAAATAAAGAAAAAAATTTAAATCTTGAAAATAGACCTATAAATTTGACTATATTTCCCTTGAAAATAGACCTATAAATTTGACTATATTCCCTCCTTCCATATTAACTTAAATCAAGGAGAAGCACTAAGATAATCACACTTTCTCTTTTAGGATAGAAATTAGGGTAAACATAAGGTAAGTGATTTATTTCTCTTCTATAAAGCTCACTGTTGTACTGATTCTCTTCAAACACTGTAACTGTGCTTTTAATATTTACATAGTGTCTTCATATCGAAGTACAACAAATCACTTTGGAAATATAATGGAAGAATAATAATAGAATACATGCTCAAAGACATATTACCATCTTCTTTTTAAGGGTACTATATTATAAAATTTCAAACTGGAGGGTAATTCAATAGTTTTTACCCTTGTTCCTCAGATAAAGAGGCCAAGAAAGAAAAGGTGGGGATAAAATATCTTATTCAAAATTATAAAAATAAAACTATAACAATTTCAAAAAACCAAGTATAAATAAATAAATAAAAATATTGGGACTAATGCCCATGGTAGAGAAAAGCTATATCTGGGTGGCCTCTAGTCTTCAAGATAGATATTCAAAGATGGGGAAAACCACCCCATTGTCTACACTTCCCAAAACTAACCTGTGATGATAAGACATTCATTGTGATCCAGCACCTCAGTGAAGAGCCGTGAAACAATCAACTCAGGGTTAATTAAAAAGCGGATTTCTTCTTGCACAAGTCCTGCACTGGTTACACCACCTCCAACAAAACGGTTTGCAAAATCCACCTATTTGGGAAAATGTGGCATGTTAAATGATGATCTAAAATACCTACATATATGATAAAGAAGTACACTCCCTCTAAGCTCTAATCTTCCTTTCCTTTCCCATATAAATTAATCCCCAAATCAGTAACCTTCCCAGGGAGAATAGATTGTGGCTGATTGCACTCTTTCCATCTCACTGCAGTAAACATCTCTGCTTATTTCTTTGGATTCCAAAATTTTAGAAGGAACCTGGAAAATGGAGCTTTTAGGCAAAAGCCTCAATGTAATTATATGGACTCTTGTTCATAAACCTTATTTGTGCTCCAAGAGCCACAAATCAAGGGAGGTTTTATCTGCAAAGGTTTCAAGGTCATTTCCCCACCATTCACTACTCAATTTCCATTATGTATTTCATATGACTTTAACATAATTCTACCTTTCTTGTATAATACGGCAATCAAACACTTGTCCTTAAAGAACTGAAAAGTTTAGTAATTGACCTTTTTTGGGCAATCTTTTCCTTCTGTGGAAGAATATGGGGATGGAAATTTCGTTCTTTTAAATTCAATCGGAAACCCTAAACTGCATGAACATTACAAACTATTTTTTTAAATATACCTAAGAAGAGAAAACAAAGACAGAAAACTTAGTTTAACAACAAAGATTCAACTAAATTAATATTTCCAGTTTAGTTTAAAACCATACATAAGCTTTCTGTGGAGGACTATGATGGGATCCCCAAGCTCCTATTAATAAAAGTGAGTTACACAATCCTCAAGAGAAAGAAGACTCAACTTGCCAGCATTACTTGTTTGTCTTAACCTTACTAAGCACTCAGAGGTGTCCAACACTATGCTAGGCTCTACGGAGCAATATGTAAGAAATGGTTTCCAATTTTGCCTTTTATGAACTAGATTACACACATACACAACTTGTGTACATACACAGTCATACACACAAAGAAATAGAACCTAGTAGGTAATGCAGGAGAGGCTTATATACACTATAGGAAAAGCACACTCCTGTGTCTCTCCTTCACTCTTACACTAGCACCACACTCACAACACTTTTGACACCAGATGTGTGGATTTTCCACTCATCAAGCAATTCTGCGACACCAGCTGGCTGTCCCATAACTCAATTCAGTTCTGACACTATCTACCTGAAGTTAGCATCACATCCCACAGGCTAAGGGTTCAGTCCCACAAGACTGCTCCACTTCAGATGCCAATCACAAGTCCCAGGTTGTCACTTGTACTTCTACTTGACTGGCTATAAATTGGGGTTCCCATGACCTCTTCCTGGGGTTCAATAATTTGCTAGAATAGCTCACAGAACTCAGTGTAACACTTACTTATGTTTACCGATTTATCAAAAAGAATATGATAAAGGATACAGATGAACATCCAAATGAAGAGATACATAGGGCAAGGTATGTGGGAAGGGGTAGGGAGCTTCCATGCCCTTTCTGGGCAAGTCATTCTCCCAGCACCTCCACATGTTCACCAACCCACAAGCTCTCTGAATCCTGTACTTTGGGATTTTTATGAAAGCTTCATCATATAGGCATGATCAATCATTAATTCAGTCTCCAGTTCCTCTCCCTTTCTCAGAGGATGGAGGGGTAGAAAGTTCCAAACTTCTAATCATGGCTTAGTCTTTCTGGTGACCAGACCCATCTTGAAGGTATCCAGTAGTGCACCAAGAGTGGCCTCATTAGAACAAAAGACAATCCTATCACCCAGGAAATTCCAAGAGATTAGGAGCTCTGTGTCAGGAATCTGTGTTAAAGACCAACTATTAGAACAAAAGATGCTCCTAGTCATTCAGTAAATTACAAGGATTTTAGGAGCTCGGTGCCAAGAACCAGGGGCAGAGACCAACGTATATAGATATTTTCTATCATTTCACATATACTTTCAGACTATTGTCAAATATAAGATTTCTTAAAACTTGTTTGTGTTCTATAAAGCAATTATGATATTAAACGATACTCTGAAGCCTATTTTACAAAAGAGTAAAACAAGAATATGAATCTTTTGCTATGTAAAAATATATGTAAAAAGGCAGAAATTAATAGAAGGTAAAGTAGTCTTTTTTCACTATAGAAGAACTTAGTAAATACTGAAAAATACAACTGGACAAGTTCTTGAAATGAGTTGTCACAGAGAATCATATATATTTGAGTTTATACTCTGGCATACTAAATCAATGCTAAAAAAAGAGTAATTTTAGCTTATATAGAAAAATAATTTTGGTTAAACCAATCCATTGAGTAGATTTAGTTACCTACTACACATGAGGTCTTTATGCATTGGGTGACTTATGGCTTAAACTGCTCAATTGAACAAACATTGACTGAAAGTTGTTACGGGAACCATGGGATACAAAGATGAATAAGACGTGGTTCCTGACTTCATAGCATTTAAAATCCAGATGGGAGTCAGGCACATAAGCAGAATGATAAGCTGATTATTAAAGAATTTATAAGTATATATTTGATATTTCCCAAATAATACAATTAACTAAAATTGGAGCATGGGGAGGAGAATAGGGGAGCATTACAAGAGGACGTGGCATTCAATCTAGATTTGCTGACATTCAGGCTGAAGGAATGGCTGCACAAGGACATAGGAAAGAGCTGTATACGAGTGATGGGGTGGTCTGAGGTCTAGGAAATTTTTACTTAATTCTGAAGGTTCTGGGAAAGATTCTAAAAATAAAAGTAACAACCAGACCTGTGTTTTAGGAAGATAATTCAGGCTAGTGTTTAAAGAATGAATTGGAAAAGTGTAAAATTAAAAGCAGAGAGGCTGGCTAGGTAATTGCTGACGAGTTTAGACAAACACCACTAGAGCCTCAGATAGGTCGGCGGGAAAGAAAGTGAAGGAAAGAGAGACCCAGCAAAGAGATAAAACGGATAGCACCGGAAAACTGAGAGACTGGCTAAGTATATGGTGCTGTGAATACAAATGAGAAAGAAAGAAGGTTTGACACCAGCTAAACTTTATTTTTACTGGAACAAGGTAGATAACTAAAATAAAAAGATAAGCTCTATCCAACTTATGTACCACTTTGCAATGATAAATGAAATACATTCAATGTGTATGCTATTGTTCATTCTTTGAATAAAAGGCCAACACTTATTACTGGGAAAGTATGCACAGAAATAAATACACTAAACTCAATATGCCTCTGAAAGCAGGTGTCTTTTAGAAAATCCAAGTTTCTACTACTTAAAAAAAGTTCTTAATAAAAGGCTCTCTATTATAGGTGAGAAACCTGTTCCAGTACATAAAAACAATCATATGAGTCCTTCTTTATTTTTAGCCAGTCATTTTCCAATTCACTTTACTTTAAAGCTACTTGTTCAGATTACTCAGTTTCTGAATTATAACTTGATGAAAAGAGAGAAATGATAACACTCCTTAGAGAGGTTTTGTTGTTGTTGCCATTCAGCATAATGTAATTTATATGCTGCACAAGGAGCTGTGTAGCATTGCAATACAATATTCCCTGATGTCCTGGGGATACATGGCATGGGTAGGGAGAACAATTAATAGACGCCTTTATGGTATTCTTTTAATCTACTGAGGTTTCACTTTTCATCTATAACATATTCCAGGAAAGTGGGGAGAATCTCAACTTTGAATGTTTTTAAATAATTCCTTGTTGAATTGTATTGTAATGAAAGGTCAGCATTCCTGTGGTGCTAACTAGCAGTACCTTTGTTTATTTCATGTGTATTTAAGACTCTCTCAGTCAATCAAGACTTTAATGTACGGAAAAACGTCATCAAAATGGAAATGTGGGGAAGAAGTGATATTCTTTTGAAACAAATTTTAACCATATTTCAAAATTAGTTTGAAATAGAAGAAAAGGTACTGATTAAGTACAAATTTTAAAAAATTTTAAGTTAGGTACAGGAGAAATATTCATTCAGTTATTCTGAGTATTTTTGTTTAATCAAACAATCACTAGGAGTAGGTGATTTAAACAAAACATAGTTTGCCTCTTTGAAGATTTTAATTACAAACATGTCTAAACAAAAGGCCATTCTAAAAAGAATCTCAGTTTCATTAGGCACTTAGAGCATAAATATATAATAACTAGCCAAATGCAAATCAGTCTAGTCACTTTACAATAAACATTAAGTTATTCAAACAAATCAGTCCATTCCCAGGCAACTGCTTTATTTAGCTTAAATACAAGCATCAAATAAGGATCTAAGAAGAAAAATTCAGCTATTTCCAGTATAAATGAGATGATGTACAAGCTTCTTTCAAAGAAAACTGAGATTACAATGCTCTTATAATTAGGATAAGAACACAAAACACTAACATTTTGTCTCTGATTAGTGATTTAAAAAAAAAATCACTATAAAGCAAAAGGAAAACACGTGTTCAGGTTAGGTGTTACAACAACTTAAAGCTAGATACATATGGTGCTTTATTTGTTAACTCCTTTTTCCAAAAATATTTTTTTTAAGTAGAGGCAGTAATACAGATTAATAACAAAGATTGAAAGATGGATAAAATTAACTGCTCTAAAACATGGAAAAGACAGCAAGCATAGTTGGCTCACAGGACTAACACTATTACATATGGGACAGAGGACTTTCTTATCAATCAGTCTTAGATGTCTGCCTCCTAGACCTAAACAAGGTTGGTGGCAGAAAAACATCTCAAGCTGGTCATCATTTAGGGCAGAGCAAGAGCCTTTAAAGAAAAAGAACAAAACTGCCTGGTGACAGCTTGTCAAGACCATACCCTGGGAACTTCCCCCACTGTCAATCTACAATCTGTGTCTGAACCAAGAGGCCTGAGGTTGTCCAGATCTTGGGATTTTCTGTCAAAGGCTTTTTAAAGAGGCACATGTAAGAAACAGAGAACGTACACTGGCAAATAACAATATTACTAAGGCTGTCAAGATGATCTGTTTGGTGTTTTTCTCCATTCTGCTATCATGCTTCTTTGCATTAAATCAGCTTAGGAGATAAATAAACAGCTTTTCAAATTTCCTTTGCTGTCAGAAGCTTGACAAGAGAAGGTCCCAAACACATGCACACTGCTATGATTCACCTACCTGTAGCATGCCTTGACCATTTCCTTCTATAGTACCTTCATAAGTGACATGCAATCGAGTCAGGGGTTTTTCACATCTACAATTGAAAAAGATATTTCCTTATTTATTTTTTTAATGACAAGTAATTCACTACAGAAAAATCTGAAAATACAGATTAACTATAAAAGAAAAATTGAAACCACTCCAAATCTCAAAAGCCAGAAACAGATGCCTACTGTTAACATTCTTGGTATAGATGCTCCCAAACTTTTTCTTATTCAAATATATATATACATATTTAAATTAAAATAGGAGAACATTCTGTTTTGAAGCCTATTTTTCCCCTACAAAATATCAGTTTCTCCTCTTTAAGAGTTGAAAAACTTCTCAAAATATTTAAAAAATTAAGATTTATGAAATTTATTATTATGCTCGAGTTGGCAACCTAAGGAAAAATATAGAAAAATTTGGCAATAAATCACATATGATTCTCAAAGAGACTCTATTTTCACTAGTTTGATAACGGTGCATGTGTGTCGCGGGGGACGGGGAGGATGTTGATGAAAATACATGCCACCGAAGTTCTGATCCATGGTATTTTCTTATTAATTAAAATTGACAGATGAACCTAGTACACGTTAAGTCACAATTATTTTCTTTCCTTTTCAAACCCACGGTCACTGAGGTGTTTATGAGGTTCAGGACACACTACCCCAAAATATGGTCCCTTGGCATATTGAATATTTTAAGCTGAAGAAGTTTGAGAAAACGGCAGAAACAGGAAGGTCACTCTTACCTCCTCTTCACCTCCCCCTTCTTCCCTGAAACAGGCCATAAAACCATCATGTGAGAGGTGCTCTCCCTATGTCTCCAAAGACAAAGGGACACCAAGAAGAATCGCAGCAAACAGTCCTTGCTATTTCCCCAAGTTTACTACAATTACTTCCTACTCCTTAACCCATCATATTCCTCCATGACTGTCCACCCTTCATCAAACCTAGCAAAAACATACATAGGTCTGTTTCTTTGGTTCTTCATTTCCTTATGAAGGCTTCCGTGTCATGTAAAACTTACATAAAATAAATTTGTATGCTTTTCTCTCGTTAATCTATCCTTGGCAGTTTAATTTTCAGACCCAGCAAGGGACCCTATGAGGGTCGAGAAAAAAGTTTTTCCTCCCCTACAGTGTTTACCTGGCTTATATTATATTAAAAAACCAATTTCATTTTATTTGATGATATTTTTCCTTAGTAGATTTTTCCCGATTACTTATGGAATAAAAATTGCGAATTATAATAGAACATAATAGATGAGATTCAAATCCCTAACTTATATAAGGGTGGCATTAATTTGGGGGGGGGATTTATATATATATTTTTAAACAACTATATATATATTTTTTTATTGATGTTTTAATGGTTTCTAACATTGTGAAATTTTGGGTTGTACATTTTTGTTTGTCCATCACCACATATATGACTCCCTTCACCCCTTGTGCCCACCCCCCACCCCCCTCCCCCACTGCCCTGGTAACCACAGTCCAGTTTTCTCTGTCCATGTGTTGGTTTATATTCCACATATGAGTGAGATCATGCAGTGTTTGTCTTTCTCTTTCTGGCTTATTTCACTTAACATAATATGCTCCAGGCCCATCCATGTTGTTGCAAATGGGACGATTTTGTCTTTTTTTATGGCTGAGTAGTATTCCATTGTATATATATACCACATTTTCCTAATCCAATCGTCAGTCGAGGGATACTTAGGTTGCTTCCACTTCTTGGCTATGGTGAATAATGCTGCAATGAACATAGGGGTGCATAAGCCTCTTTGGATTGTTGATTTCAGGTGCGTTGGATAGATTCCCAGTAGTGGGATGGCTGGATCATAGGGCATCTCTATTTTTAATTCTTTGAGGAATCTCCATACCGTTTTCCATAGAGGCTGCACCAATTTGCATTCCCACCAGCTGTGTATGAGGGTTCCTGTTTCTCCACATCCTCTCCAACATTTGTTGTTTTTTGTCTTGGTGATTATAGCCATTCTAACGGGCGTGAGGTGGTATCTTAGTGTTGTTTTGATTTGCATTTCCCTGATGATTAGTGATGTTGAGCATCTTTTCATGTGCCTATTGGCCATCTGTATATCTTCCTTGGAGAAGTGTCTGTTCATTTCCTCTGCCCATTTTTTGATCGGGTTGTTTGTTTTTTTGTTGTTCAATTGTGTGAGTTCTTTATATATTATGGAGATCAACCCCTTGTCAGATGTATGTTTTGCAAATATTCTCTCCCAGCTGGTTGGTTGTTTAAACAACTATATTTTTTAAAAAACATTTAGGTGGGGAAATGCTACTTACTTACTGGGATTTGCTTTCTTCCTGGTTTCAATGAGCCCAGATACATTTCTGGCAAGGCTCCAGTCTACCAGACTGATAGCCTTAAACTCAGAAGATAATTCATTACAAGTTTTGTTCTAAGAGCTTCATTTGTATTAACTCATTTAATCCTCACAACAACCCTATTACTATCTCCTTTTACAGATGGGAAAACAAAGCACAGAAAGCGTTTAAGTAACCTGTTCAAGGCTAGTAAACGAAGCAACAAAGATTTGAACCCAGGTAGCCTAAGTCAATAGACCAAGCTCTTAATCAGTATGCTATACTTTTAAAAAAATTACTTTCCAACTCTTGTAGAAAGTAGTACCATAAGTTTGATTTTTTTTTAACTTCCTTTTTTGGGGGGAGTCCTACTTTACTAGCCATTTGGTTCCAAGGGAGACCACCTGTGAGGATGCTACTACGATAAAGAAGCGAGATCCAGCTATCTCTGGTTTATCAGTCAGGACTTCAAAACAGAAATCTCATAGGCTGTCAACTACTCTCCATGACTGAAGTTGTCAATTTACCGTACAGTTCTCAATAAAATCATGAAATTGCTAGAAACTTTTTTTTTTTTAAGATTTTATTTATTTATTTTATTTCCCCCCAAAGCCCCAGTACATAGTTGTATGTCATAGCTGCACATCCTTCTAGTTGCTGTATGTGGGACGCAGCCTCAGCATGGCCGGAGAAGTGGTGCTTCGGTGCGCGCCCGGGATCTGAACCCGGGCTGCCAGCAGCAGAGCGCGCACACTTAACCGCTAAGCCACGGGGCCGGCCCAACTAGAAACTTTTTTTTAAAGCATCCTCCAACTTCCTGATAGGTCTCTCCTTCTGGCCCCCGCAAATCCTCCGTACCATTGCCTCAGGAATCAAAGCCATAGACTATTCTGGCTGTCTGTGATTAACTAAGTCTGGCTAAGGTATATACTGACAATCACAAGGTTAATTACAACATGCCGGAAACTTGGAAATCAGAAAAACCTCTCACTCCCTGGCACCCATGTACCCCTTTACTCATGGAAACACTAACAATCCTCATCTCTTCTTCATCCTCACTCTCTAATGAATGCATGTTTCTGGTTCTGTGGAGTCTGGGAGATTGATTTTAATTACATTTTCCAACTCACTTATGAAGTAGCTAAAACAAAAAAGAGATCAATAAAATTTTTAAAAGTTAGAAAAACTTGATAAAGTTAAATTCTGCCTATCAAAGTTAAGGAGAATATCTTGATCTTACTTAGGAGGAAAATTATCTCAGGGGCCAGCCCAGTGGCGTAGTGGCTAAGTACGTGTGCTCCACTTCAGCGGCCCTGGTTCGCAGGTTCGGATCCTGGGCGTAGACATACGCACTGCTTGTCAAGCCATGCTGGCAGCGTCCCATATAAAGTAGAGGAAGATGGGCACGGATGTTAGCCCAGGGCCAATCTTCCTCAGCAAAAAGAGGAGGATTGGCGACGGATGTTAGCTCAGGGCTAATCTTCCTCACACACACACACACAAAATTATCTCACTGACACAGCAGCCTCACAGTCTCTGCATTTTGACCTATCCCTTCTCTCTCAGTTGGTAATGTATAAATGTTAGTGCCCAATGACTGTTAGATGCAGAGTAGAGATCCTGAGCTGAATTAAAAACAAGCCCTCTGAATGACTATGAAATCTACACCAAAGTGACAAGAACAAAACATCTGTATTCCTATTAGAGACGAAAAGAAGAGCTAAGAAAAGTAATCCTCTGTACTCTGGTTTGGGCAGATAACAGCAGATTGTTAGTTTCAGTTCTAGGCACCATATTTTAAGAGGCACCAATGGCCTAGCATATGTCAAAAGCAGAGATGAAGGGTTTAGAATCCATATTATATGTGAAATAGGAGAAATGAGTAAGTTTAGTATGTACTTGTGTGCACTGTTAAGAGGAGGGAATGGGTGAAGAAAGCATTAAGATACATGGAGGGTCGAATGTTAAAGAAAATTAGCTCCAGAAGGAAGAACAAGGAATGGGGTGGGGGGAGAATTATTTGGAAGACAGACTTCTAGTGAACAGAAATATTAGATAATAACACAAGTGGCCGACAATGGGACAGACTGATGTAAAATAGTGAATTTCCCATCTGAAGCTGTCTAGTCTCCATCTGTCACAGGTATTACAGAGTTGACTGATATTTTTAGTAGGCAGCTGGACCAGATGACTTCCTGGGGTCCCTTTCATCTCTAATATGACAGGCCTCCAAAACGCTGTACATGTTCTCTTCCTTTCTGGCTCAATTTTATTTTTTTTTCTTCAGGTTGTTTAGTCTTTTATCCACTTCCCTCTATTAATAATCATCTCAGCCATGCAGTCAGTCTCCTAAAATAAGTTTGTTTTTTCTTTCACCTCACAAATAAATATCTTTGATGGATGAAAACACCATGGGAAAGCCACCTAAGCAGATATGCTTTCTCAAGTGAACTCCCTTAGCAGTGAGTCCCTTTCATCACTAATTCCAAACAAAACAACTATAAACTATGATAAAAATTATTAGAAGGTGAAAACGAGAGGCACTGGTTAACATGAATGTATACCTAAAATATGCACTTAGTATGTCTGATCATGTCCTCAGGTGCAATGAAAAAGTTGATCCATTCTTCTTTAAGTGCTCTAGACTAGGAAATGTGTTAACTATTTCAGGGCACTAAGGAACTCACAAATCTGAATGAACTCAAATTGGTTACTATCCCTCTCAGTATTTGCAGACAAATAATAAGAAAAAAACCCAGTAAATTAACAACTTCCATAAAATCTGCCAATAGTACACACAGACAGCCAAATTTCAAAATTCTTGTCACTCAGATAAATGCTAGGTAATTACTTTACATTTTAGTAAATTAATTTACTTATTAGTTTAATAAAAAAACTTTTTCCCATCTTGTCCTCCAGAAAGAAGAGCCATTAAATACAAACAGTAACAAAAAAAGGAGGGTAAGGAGGAACATTAAATACTGGTGTTCTGTTTTAATATTACTGTCTTCACACACAAAACTCCTTAATTCTAAATAGGACTTTGTTTCAGGCAAAGGACTAAGGCAAAGGAGTAGAAGTCAAAGAGTTGCAGACTTTGATTCAAAAGGCATGACCTTCTAACAATGGGAGCTATCAATGGATCATTTATAAGAAGAAACTCCCCAGCACTAGGGAAATTAAGAGGTTGGGAAACCATCTTTCGAGGGGCTGTAAAATAGAATCCTCTCATGGTAAACCAGTCTTTCTAATTCTAAAATCCAGGATTATTTTTATTATTATTACCTTTCCCACTCTGGAAAATCTTCAAGACTCTGTCTCGTAAATGTCACCAACCCAGTAGGTTCTACAAAAGCAATAAAAGAAACACACACCCAAAATAAGTTTGGATTTTGAAAAGATTATATATATTCAATAAAAAGGGGTCTAATAATGGCCGTAAAATTAATCAGGAAATACCAAGCCTAGTGTTGGAATACAACAGAAGACTAATTTAAAATAATATTATCCTTACAGTAGGAACTCTTTCTATAAAATAGTAAGCCCTCACTAAAACAGAAAACTATATAAATAAAAGCACACCAGTAGGATTTGAGTGCTGGTACTTTTTGGTTAAGTTTTCTAAACTGAATATACTTAAAAAAATCATTGAAAAAAAAAGATGCATGATGGGTGTAGCTTATACAATAAAGACAAAACTGAATTTTAATCTATAGACTTCTCAAAGAAAAGCCTTAACCTCACATCTAAAGACTTGTGAATGTATACAGATTTATGTGTTTTATAATAAAATAAAATGTCTAAGATTAAAAAAGAAAATTGTCAGCGTGCCCTTTGGAGTTGACAGAGCTAAATCCAGGGCTTAGACAATATGCAATTGCTCCACTTACAAGGCGCCTTAGCCAGAAGGAGGAATTACTGTGTTCTAAGAGGTTAGAGAAGAAAGATGACATAGTTTTCAAGAAGCAATAGATGTGACAGGATCAAAATGCAGTAAATTTTAGAGGCTAAGATCCTTTTTGTTATATTTACTTTTTTTTTCTAACTAGTGGCAAAAGCAACAAATAAATCATCTGGCCAAAAGTAATTTGTTTGATTCAAATCAACGAACAAACTAAAAAGGCCAGGCCATTTCTGTTTTCTTCTGTTAAAAAAAAAAAAAAAAGGCTCTTAAGCAAAGAGAGATATGTCAGGAACTATTAGTGGTAATGGTGGAGAGTCCCAATGAAAGCCTGGGAATCATTTCATTCCTCTGGATGACTTCACATTTCTCTGCTCTCAGTCACAAGCAGTAACAACTCAAAAATCATAAGGAGTAGTTATAGTAGAAAACAGAATTTTGTTAACATGAGTTATAAAATATTCTTTAGATGTCTTACTTTCTTTAAGACAAATGGATAGCATATTTAAAACTCCCAAGTAATTTAGAGGTCAAACAATTCAAACACTAGAGAAGCAATTCTATTAACAGGAAACTAATGTCAGTATCATCATTCCATAACTTAGCAGAGAAGAACATTAAATGTCCTTCATATATAACTAGGAGAGACCAAGAGAAATTCATAAATGAATGCTGCTGGCAAAACAAGAGAAAAGGCAGAAGAAGATGGTTCTTTATGTATAATTAATAACAAAAAACCTTGAGAGCATGCCTATCACCTTTCTTCCATAAAAAGGCACTTTTCACACCAGAATAGGTTATTTTGGTTAATCAAATATTTCCCTTAACAAAATCACAATATATACTCCATATGAATCACCAATTTTTAAATACTCCATCTATAAGATACTTTATCTAAAACTATATTGAAAATAATTTAATTCAGAAAGCTCTTTAAAATCTTGCAGTCTCAAGATCTTCATTACAAATATAAAATATAGATATTTGACAACACCGAAAAGCTGGTCCTGATGGAATTATATTTTATCACTTCTCAAAAGCACACTTTTTCATGTATTAAATTTCTGAAACTGGGATACATCTTCCATAGTCAAAGGTATCTAGCCATTGTTATTGGTCTGGATTAAAGTCGAATTTTTCCAGGGAAGATGTGCATCTGCTTCTGCCGTCATCTGGGAGCACCACCAACCTGAGATCAGTCTGAATTAGAGCCTCTGTTGCAGGCTTTTGTGGATCACACTGGTAATATGACTTCAGATCTTAGACTTGAGGCTTGTGGTTCAAATTCTCAGGGGAGGTTTTTGTCTCCTCTCTACCCAGGGCCAAGAGTGACACTCGCAGTTTCTTTGTTGTCCTTTTTCTATATGGCCAGGTTAATTTCTCATTTATCCCTAGACTAACGGTACAGACCTCTGGTGTACAGCTTTGTAAGAGAGGTCTCCTATGACTCCCCAATCTGAATGTTTTTTTCCTTCTTAGTGGTATATAACATAACGGCACGTCTTACCATCAATGTTGTCCTAGATTTGATGAAATATGATACTTTAAATAGGTTTTTATAGTTTCTATTCAGCAGACTCCAGAATTTCTATATAAAGTAATCATTAAATTGCAAATGTCTTGTTTTCCACTTAGTACTTCCTCCTTAAGCCTAGAGCCTTACATCCTAAAAACCTATAGCATGTTTTACTATATTTCTACAAAGTACTAAATTACACGTACAGTGAAAAAGCCAGAAAATAAAATGTCTAATTACAACTTATTTTTTCAGCCTAATTCCTAATACTTACAATGGTTTATAAATTTCTAGTTGAAAAAACAGAATTTTAGCTTTTTCTCTCAAAGTATTTAAAATCCTAAAACTTATAAAGGCAAGTTAGCTTTTAGAGAAGACATATATGATTTGACCCCAAGGACAGAAATGTAAACTCTGAGTTACTTAGGTATAATAATGGAATTCATTCTATTTAGATTTAAAATAGCAAAAAAGTTACTCATCTTTCTAACAAATTATTACAAATTCTAATTTGGTTTTATGTCTCATAAGCTCGAATGAGCCTTCATTTTCCTTAATATTTCATTCAGTACAGAGCACAAAACTAAAAACAGATTCCTAAGAAATAAATAACCCTCTATCAAAGAAGCATATGATTTTTTCCCTTAAATACCAAAATCCTGGTAATTGATTTCTTTCCAAAAATCTGAACATGTCCAATAGCAATACATTCAAAGGGAAAAAAATGCCAAGTATACTATAATGTGAGATTACTTACTAAAGGAAGGATATGAGAAAAATGACCTTAAAATGATTCAATGATGTGTTTTAAGAAAATCCCACAATCTGGATGACCAGAACTGAAAAGAACTCATGTCACTTGACCAGAGTTGACCTGCTCCATTTAGCAAAAGCAAACTTTTGAGATGATCCGGTTTCCTTTATAATCAACTTGCAGGAAAGGCCACCCATTGATAATAGCTAACATTTATTAAGCACGTAACCTCTCATTTAATATTTATAACTACTCTATGAGGTAATTTATCATTATTCTTTTATTTTACAGATGAGGTAACTGAGGCTTAGAGATGTCAAGAAACTTGTCGGTGGTCAGTCACTCAGCTCCTAGGATAAGAGTGGCAATGTCAATCTATTATTAGTTGGTCAAGACCAGCAGTAGTTAGACATTTACCACTATTGCCTCAAGTGCTACGATTAGCCTGTGGGAAAAGAAGATGGTGGAGGTCCAACAGAGGAAGACAGACACTGTTTCCTCTGTTTTATAAGAACTCTACGAAAAGTGTAAAGGGGGCACAAAAGAGAGCGATGGCTAGGAAGGCAATGAATTGGCTGATCTCTACAAATAAACTAATTTAATAGTCAATGCTTCTTTAAATAAGAACACCCAACATGTATTTCCTGGTCAACATACTTTCTTTTGAAAGTATTAATTTACTGTTTTTATTCATGAAAACCCATTAAGGTATGTTACATTGGTCTAATTTCAGAGTATATAAAACTCACACACATTTATAGCACACATTTATGTACATATATAACACATGCATAACATCTAGACTATAATATTGAATTATTATTGTTTCAATGTGGTTTTGGCGAAAAGGTGTACTTTGAACACAAAATGTTTTTGACCTGCCACTTGATCTGAACTGTCCACATCAGTGATAAAAATTATAGTAAGAATGAAAGGAATTTACTTTTCTCTGTGACTCTTCTAAAGTAGCAGAAGAGTGTTTTAAGCTTCTCTGGTTTCCTTGATGAACGTCCTTCAAACAATCTGAAAGAGACCAAAAATAAAAGAGGGTGAAGGATGATTTAAGATGCCTTAATGAATGATGCACAAAAAACTAAATCTATACTGCTACCAAGTAATAAAAGAAGTAATTCTTCCAGAAGGCAATTCTGTAATGACAGAGAACTGGATAACTGTTTGGATTGAAACGGCATCTGGAGAGGACTGAAACCAACTAAAACCAGGCTTCTTAAAAGTTGTTCAAGTCAGATGGCACTCTTGAACAACCAGGTTTCTCCAATCTATCTTCCTCCAGGGAGAAGGTACCATCTGGACCCCAAAGTCAATTAGGGCGGTGAGTTAATGCTCCATCGTTTTCCCAATGGCAAATACTATTTATAATTCATAATAGTCCTAGGTAGTTGAATGATTGAACAGAAAGGGTATCTGAAAAAAAAATCCACATGATTGTTTGTGTCAGGGGGGTGGCAACAATGACAACGACTAGCAGGTATGACAAGATATTGGGGGACAGACCAATCTTTGGTAATTAAACAAATACACCCTTTGCATGGTAACCAAAACAGTGCCTACCCTATGACATCTAGTTTCCAGCAACCTGGACTTGCACTACTTAATTTAGTTTTCTTTGAAATGACGTGGCATTGTTATTGGTAACACATAATGCAATTTATCCTGAGGAAAGAAAAGCAGGGCTTTGGCAGCATATGACCTGAGTAAGTAGTTCACTAAAAGATTTCAAACACAAAAGAATGCTTTTGGGCACAAGATCTAGCTTTCCAAAGGCATTTAAAAATTATAGAGAAATTCTGTAGCTATAAATGATGAGGTATTATTCCTCTGCCTCTAGTCATATATTGTGGCTTTAAAACCAGAAACTCTTCAAGCAAAAATTCACTTTAATAAGAGCCAAAATGAGTAAAATTTTTCATGATTAGAAAAGCAAGCTTATATAACTACGCAGAGAGGGAAAAGTTAATTCCATGAGAAAATCCTATTGAGCAAGTGAAATGAATTAGGAAAAGGGAAGGAAATGCATATTTCAAATGATCCTGTTTTCAATGATCTGAAATGCTGTATTCAGGGTCAATTTCTGAGAAAACAATTTATATGAATACTTATTTCCTGAAAAGAATACTAATGTCAGAAAGTATTTTAACCAAATTTAAAACCTAATTCATTTTTAAAAATAGTTTAAGAGTGCCTGTGTGATAATTTTTACTCATCTAAAAGAATTTATTTTTCTAAAATGTTTATTACAAATACTCTTAAAATCCAGCTGCCTGCTGAAAGAAAGGATCTTTGAGAGTGCAGGTTTCAGCTTGGTTTCTTCTGCAATATGTCAACCAGAACAGAGTTTGTTTAAATCAAAATGATAGTAAAAATGAAGAAGCCACTGGGCACTTTAATTAAACATCCTGTGTCAAATAAATCTGATTTACTAAATGAATACCTTGGGATCCATTGCAAAATCCCTTTCTAGGTTTACTACTTAGCAGAGGGAAACAGTACAAATATAAAGGCAGCCACCACCTTTTCTTAGAGATGAACTGATGTACTATACAATTCAATTAACAGAAAAAAGTCCCTCTTCCATAGAACTGTTGCATAGTGAGGAAAAAATGGTTGTTGCCCTTAAGAAATAATTCCCCCAAACATAACAAGAGTCCCTAGCCTCTATATGTAGTCAGCTGTTTGAAAAATCACATAAAAGTTCACATATTTCATAACCATGATGACAAATTAACCTTAGGAGCCTCTTGGGACTACAGATTTATTACCCTAGTGATATGGACTTTCCTGGAAGATTATATGGCTGTTATTATCACCCACTACAAATGAGCACCACTGTTTATTTTGCAGGTCCAAACCTAATAGGTACAAATCAAGCAGAATCTCAATGTACTCTGTTTATCCATTGCTCTAAGCCTAATTCCAAATCACTATGTAACCAAATATGCTTTCCCATCTTTCTGATGGAACAGGCAAGTGGTGGTGAGGGGTGAGGGGAAGGGAAAGGAAGCCGGCGAAGATGAAACAGGTTTAAAACCCTTGTGCCAATTCTCGACTTCCCTGTTGTGAAATTTTAAAGTACTAATACCAAATAAAATGAATTACCCTGGTGTGAAAGCAAGTGAAACTAACATAAAAATATAGCCAAACAGCATGAACGCAAGTCATCACAAGAGTGATATACTATCTGAGGGACAGCGTTTGAGAGGGAGGAAGAAGACAGGAACTGAGGATGGAGTCCAAGAAAGGAAGAGAGAGAAAGACAGAGCAGGGAAGATAGACAGAGGAGAAAGAGATTGACAGAAATGGGTTTGGAGACAGAGGGAGGGTATGAGACAGAAACTCACAGAGAAAAACTCAGAGAGACAAACACAGAAAGAGACATAGAGACCCAGATAGAAGAATAATCAATCACCACTCAATTTTTTAACTTCTTAACACCAATTTTTTTTAATTTAGATTTCCAAGTCCTGGGTACGTATATTTGAAGGCGTATTTTGAGTCAGCAGGCATGCATGTAAACATGCACACAAACTAGGCCATGATAACCCCTCTGCATGTAGGGAAGACATTTTGGCAGGTACCTGAATGATAATTACCGATTATTAAAGAAAGCAAACAGAAAAAGTCAGTCAGGCAATCTCACTTTTGCTCTAAACAAAACTTTTCATTTTCAAGGAAATAAGTCAATCAAGGGTCAGATACTTATTAACTGGTGTTTTTCTTTACATACATATAAAGAGAAACATAGTTTAATACGATCTTTCCCTGCATGGAATATTGATAACATTACTGGAATTGGATTCTAGACACACACACACACACACACACACACACACACACACACACACTCCTCCATGTGATTTCAAGTTAAGAATTAATCCCATTAGTATACAGTAAATCAAACCCAAAGCACTATAACCTCGACTTTAAAATGGAAGCAAATGATCATCCGGAACCCAGCCAGAAAGTCATTCCTGGCTTTTCTGTGAAGCACCCTGCCATATGGCCCCAGCCACATTTTCAATCCAGGGAAGAGGCAGATGTAAAAGCCTCCTGAGCTGACCACTGCTGCAACCCACAATTAATCTTTGACCATCAGTTTCTAAGCAATCTCAGAAGCATCAATGCTAATCATATTGGAAGCCTTTATATGAACGTTTAGGCCCAGAAAGGCAAGCAGGGGAAAAGGTCAGGGGTATTTAACATAACTAAGCAGGGCTGGAAGAACACAACAATAAATAAAAAAAGGAAGACTTATTCAATTTATTGACGTCAGCCTCCCACCACATACTCTTACCATTTCTCTTCTTCAATCAACTAGAAAGCCATAGCTCTTTTAAGACTAAATACACTCACATACACACAACTCCCAACTGCCAGAAACTAAAATCATAAACAGCAACTATGCAAAAAAGAAAACACAACAACAAAATGCTCCATAATCAGCTTAACAAATGGCTCATCAAATTAAGTACTTGATCTTTCAAAAGCCACATAAAAAAGGGGAACTTTTGGTTGTTTTCTATTTCTGGAACGCACTCAGAGCATTTTGCTCTTGAGAAAAAGTGAGACAATGAAAGAGCACTGGCTTTGAACAGAAGAAGGTGTTCAAGTCCCAGTTATGCCGATAAGTCATTTACTCTCACTGAACCTATTAGTATAGAACCTTCCCTACCTAGAAACTTCCATAGATAGAATCAAGGTGAGCCGTCAATAGACAGCATCAATGATCGCATATAGTCGTCGTTCCTGTTGTTTGCTAGTTTAGCATACCATCTACCATACACCATCTCAGGGAGAGGCTAGTGCAGACACCCTGGCTTCTGAGATTCCCTAAAACAACTGTGGAGACTACCATAGGCTCTACCTGCCTTAATTAATTTTCAATGTTCTGGTGACCAAAAGAACATCTATCAGCCAGGAAGACAAGAGTATGCCCCATTTAAAATCTTCAACAGACCTACTTAAACTCTTATTTGGTGCAAATGCTATTGGGATACTGAGAGCTTAAATCCCTCACGGCCACTCTGGGCTGATGAATGGCTTTGTTTCATTTTACAAATCAAGAATTATTTCTAAGGCTAGTTCTAATTTCTGACTAGCTATGAGGTAAGAAGTATTCATCCAGTTCATTCAAAGGGAGGCTGCATGGCGGAATGGTTAAGGGACACAACTTCTAGAGGCCAATTAAATCCTGAGTTTGAATCCCAATTATACCAGTTAACTTGGTGAAGTAATCTACCCTCTCTAAGCCTCCATCTCCTCATCTGAAAAATGAGAAAAACAAGAAAACCTAATTTATAAGATTGATGTGAGAATTAGGTAAAAAATAATAGCACAGTGATTGGTACATGGCAAGTATTTAATAAATATTAGCTATTGTTATTAAGAGAGATTCTCATGCAAAAAAAAATTTCAGATAATGCTGAGTAAGTGGAGGTACTTGGGCTGGAATAAGGCATTACTTAATGCCCAGCAAAAAAATCAACACTCATTTACATAAAATGCTTACATTGTTCTAATCCATATTCCCTTCATTAAGAAAAATGGCTCAGCCTCATTTCCCATCAAGCCTAACATGCTGACACTCAGAGCCAACCAGCTCAGTCTTCAGGATAAATGACCATGCACAATGAAAAAGATAGAAGTGCCATTGCCAAGAAGTCCCAGCATTCCACGGTCAGAAGTTTAACTGAAAAACAAAGATGCTTTAAAACATATGTTAAAATTAATATAAATTCTGGTAACTGGTGCAGGAAATGATAAGTCACGGAAGCCAAGGCTTCCCAAGACTCCTTGACTTCTACCCGTCAGCCATCCTAAACCTGCGGTCCACTTTACCGCTGAGAAAAGAAGGCTGTCAGTGTGGCAGGTGCCCAGCCCTCTGAGGGTCCCGTGGACTTGTGCTTCTTTAACATACTGAATGGAAAAGGTGGGGTGAAGGGGAGGTAATGATGCTGTGTCTACGGGGCTATAACTAGGATGGAAGAAGCTACCCACACTAGTTT